AGTAAGCTTGTTCATCCTTCATCCTAGCATCTTTTCTCTTCTAGTTTTCTTTAGTCTTTAAGGTTATAGGCTAAGGATAGAAGGTGTGTTGGGAAGTGTAGGTGGTGAAGGAGGCTCAAGCTAGGCCAAGAGGATGAAGAGATCCAAGCAAGAAGACTATACTACAAGAGGTATAACCCCATGGATTCCTCTTTAGATTTGGCTCTGTGAAGCTAGTTTTGAGTAGAAATGAGTAGAAACTATGAGTTTTTGATGTGTTTATGCTTAGAAATGCTTTGGTATGTGTTTATGAGTTGTTGAGATTGTTTTGGACATGTTTGAAGAAGTTTTTGCAGGAGAAATGCTATCTGGTGCACAACACAGTGTGCACCAGACCAGAGTGGCAGCCCTACCCGCGGCCCATCAGAAGGCTATAACCAAGCAAGAAGACTATACTACAAGAGGTATAACCCCATGGATTCCTCTTTAGATTTGGCTCTGTGAAGCCTAGTTTTGAGTAGAAATGAGTAGAAACTATGAGTTTTTGATGTGTTTATACTTAGAAATGCTTTGGTATGTGTTTATGAGTTGTTGAGATTGTTTTGGACATGTTTGAAGAAGTTTTTGCAGGAGAAATGCTATCTGGTGCACAACACAGTGTGCACCAGACCAGAGTGGCAGCCCTACCCGCGACCCATCAGAAGGGCCACCGGCTAGAGCCGTGCCACCACGGGACTAGGGCACGACCCTAGAAGAGGGTCGTCGCCTAGTCCCAGCTTCTTAACGGGGCTCTAGGGGCGGACCATGAAGAATCCCGCCCCAGGTCCCTGAGTTTTGTACTGATGAGATTTTTGTGCAGTGGTCGGGCCCTTGTGGCTCAGCTACGTGTCGTTTCGGACCGAGTCTTATGGGCCCTTGTGGCTCGACTCTTCGGGATCGTCTTGACGCACGTGATGGCTTCGATTTCGTGGAATTTGGATTAAAAACAAGTATGTTAAGAAGGATTTTGTGAAGAAATGTTATACAATGCATATTTGCTAAACTCTCGGTGTTTGAGAAATTGTTGATCATGTGATCGAATAATGTTTTTATCGAGTAAAGAAGCATGATCCTTTAAGAATATGTTTTATTATGAAATCATGATTAAATTGTATTATTTGATCAATGAGAATAGAAGCATATTTGTTGAGTGAAATGTATAGAAATTGCTATGTTGCAAACCGAGCATGATGATATATTCTTGATACTTCATGTTAGTTTATACATGATTTAGAAGCATGTTAATAGAGCATTTTGACATTTCACATGAGTTATATTTCAAAAATGCATAAGGGGCCAACGTGAGCCCAAGAATACGTTCAAAAACCATAAGCATGTGGTATAGCATTCTCTGATGCATTGAGAAGTAGTAGAATTGTTGCATGCATGAGATTGATGCATGAGAGATATATTTATGTATTATCTATATCGGTGAGGTTTTGGAGGATACCATTTGGACTATGTTCCTCTCGGGAGATATTTATGGACATTGCGGTCCCAGTATATGTAACGTGGCGTATTCCCACGTTACGAGGTTGGAAACTTCCCGCCAGGCTTGGAATCTTGGTTAAGGGGTGTGCACACTAATAGTTCGATACCTGATTCCACAGAGTTTGAACCACGAGATTGGTTCCGTAGATGGTAGGAGATATTGGGTCGGAATTATGCCGTTCCCGATGGGGTAAGTCACACTTTTGTGAGACCCTAAGCCGTCTACGAGTATAAGAGAAAGAAAGAGAGTCAACAGAGACTCAAGTATGAGAGTCAATATAGACTCGATAGAAAGAAAGAGATTCAAGAGAGACTCGAGAAAGTAACAAAGAAACCTCCACAGAAAGTACTCTATTTTATATATGAGCGTATGATTACATTATTGCACGAGATTGCATATGAATAGGAGTATTATTATTGCACTAGATTGCATACGAAAAAGAGTATATTGTTGCACTAGATTGCATATGAGTATGGGTTTATTGTTGCATGAGATTGCATAAGAATATGAGTATATTGTTGCGCTAGATTGCATATGAGTATGAGTATATTGTTGCATGAGATTGCATAAGAATATGAGTATATAGTTGCACCATAGACCATGGACCCTTATCCCTAAACCAAACCCTTAATCGTATAAGGAATAGAATAAGTAAATCCATACCATTCAGACCCTAATTAGGACTCTTAGATATATATAAGGACATAGAGGCACCAAGATTCACACCACAATAGATTCCACCACAAGAATTCCCAAGAATTCCCCTATCACCAAATGTAGGAGAAATCAAGAAGAGGAGATCTTAGAGAAAGAACCTTAGAAGCCAAGGATTCTAATTAAGGCTAAAAGGTAACCCATGTCTCAACAAAACCTATTTTCCTTGCTAAATCTTCTTCTTTGGTTCCTTTGATATGCAATTCCATGCTTGTGTCTTGATAAAGCTTTTTATGATGATTATGAGATAACCTTGATGTTGATGAGATAATCTTGATCTTTATGTGATGCTGATAATCTTGATGTTCTTGATATTTATGTGTTGATCTTGATAACCTTGATGTTCTTGATTTTAATATGACTAGAGCCCTAGGGTTAAATCGTGGATTTCGTATAGTGATATTCTTGGTATATTTGGGCGGGATTTTGCATGATCGTGTATTGAGTATTGATTATGTTTAGAAGTCATGTTAGGATGTATCTAATTTGATTCTTGGTTTTAATCCATTACTTGATTACGTGGTGTCGTCGTTTGTGTTTAAATGTGTCTAGACATGGTTTCGGATTCCACGAAAGATCCCGGGACCAAATTATTACATAAGAGTCAGTGGGGGTTAGGTGGGGGCAGGGGTACCCGCCACCTACCCGCTGCCCCAAAGAGGCCGCCGGTAGCGGGCAGCCGGCGAGCAGGCGACTGCCCGTCGGGAACCCGTTTGATGTTTCTGCGTGCCCAGTGGTGTCCCATTGGACCTCGTTTGTCACGCCCGAGTCTAGTTTGATGTTTCGGGTACCGTTCATAGGATAAAAGAGTCTTGCATGCTAGTCGAATTGGTATCCCGTTGGCCTAGGTGAAAGATGTATGAACCCCTTAGCCTTGTTCCTAGCAATATGGTTGACCATGCATAAGTTTATATATGTGTTTTCCCCTCCCTATGTGTTAATGTGGGTTGCATGTGCTTGGCTATGTGTTATGTGTGCAGGATACCCCAATTGGTTGCGATCAATTGGTTATACGGGCAGTTGGATGGGTTGAGAACCATCGGCTGTTAACCAGGCCGGTTGCGATCGGTCAAGTATATAAATATATATAGGGCTGCGGCCCACCGTTTGGTTGCGATCAAACGTTATAAATGAGCTGCGGTTCATAATCTGATTGCGATCAGAAATACACACTATTCGGGTTGCAGTCCACCCTTTGGTTGCGATCAACGCTACTATATGAGCTGCGGTTCATCGATTGGTTGCGATCAATCCCCTCGGTGCTGCGGTACGAGGTAGGGTGCTTCGGGGCCGTGTCAGAGCTATATGCGCTAACCCTCATATATATAGGGTCCGGATCAGGTGAGGACCTAATCTTAGGTGAGGACGTGAGGACTAATCTAGACCATTAAATCAGAATGATGTATGACTGAGATTAAAAGAAACAAATCACACGGATTAAGAAAACAAATTCCTTTAAAATATTAAAATATATAAATTTAGGGTAAATCCGTCTTATTAAAAGATGTGCATTCCTACACAAAATGTTGTGCATTCCTATACTGAGTGTTGTGCATCAATAATTTCATTGTTGTGCATTCAAACCCCGCCAAAAAATCATACAGTGAACATCCAATGTTCTACGATGCATTGAGCTATGTGCTATAATGCACAACTCCCTAGCCTATAGTGCACAACTTACAACACTAGGTTGCACAATCAGCACACACGAATGCACAATCGTACTACCCAGGCATTTATACATATACACGACAATCCAAATATAGACAAAATTATACTCAAAAGAACAAGCGAAAAAAAATAAAAAATACTGATTAGTTTGCATGGGCGAACACTCATCAGTGATGAAGAAATCGCGGCTCCAAATTGCAACGGTGATGATCCAAGAAAATAGGAAACCAATTTGGCCAAGGATTATACATGCGTTCACACTTAAAAAAAATTAGAAAAAGACACTATTATCCCACTTTAACAAAAAAGATCAAATCATTTCATCTCAAAAACTCAAATCTGGACCATCCAAATAAAAAAACAAATGCACAAGATTAGTCCTCACGTCCTCACCTAAGATTAGGTCCTCACCTGATCCGGATTATATATATATATATATATATATATATATATATATATATATATATATATATATATATATATATATATATATATACCTATATTGTATTTTAACGCATTAGAGTGGGTTACCAGCATTATTCGCTGAATAGATATATTTGGCTTTCAGGCACAGATGAGTAGCTCCGGAACACGCTATAGGACCCGAAGCTTAGTTAGTTAGTTTCCTTATCGGCCTGCGTGCCATGATGATGTATTGACACTGTTTTGAGGATATTTATATAGTATAGCCGGTGCATCTGAGTTCTCTAGCTCAGATGTGGCATAGCACCCCAAACACTTATGTTTAGTTGTGCTCTATTTCGAGGTCTAATGATAGTATTGCCTTTATTTCATAAGCATCCAAAGTTTTAAATTTTAGGGGTGTTACAGTTGGTATCAGAGCCTAAGTTTGATCCTAGGATAAGACTCTTAAAACAAGACTTTAGGACATTAGGCTTGAACTCTAGGTATTTAGGAACTTAGGATTCAGGAAACTTAGGACGCGCAGTGAGATTGTTGGTTTACCTGTCATTATATGCCTAACTTTCCCCTCACTATATTCTACACTTAATTTAAAGAACCCCCTACCCTTATCGCAGCAAGGTAAGGATGCAACCCACTAACTTAAACATTACAAACAATATTGGCCCTGTAGACCAGCAGGATGGCATCAACATGGAGACAATCAAAGACACTGGAACCCTCCTCGCACGAATCCTTGATCCAGAACTTACAGCAACTGGCCCAAGTTGCCCAAACACTAAGCAACACCATCCTCCACAACAACGACCGATCATCACCACCAAATGAGAACTCAGAAGTCGACCGCCAGATCTCAAAACATCAGCCGCCCTTCTTCTCAAGGGAAGAAGACCCCACAATTCTCGAGGAATGGATCCGAACCTTTGACAAAATCTTCGAAATAGTAGAATGCCCGAAGAAACGCCAAGTGGAGGTGGTCTCCTTCTATCTCAAACACGCAGCCGATCTTTGGTGGGTCCACGAGGGACCTGCTTACAAACAAGAACTAGGGTTCAACTGGGAATTCCTGAAAGCACGACTACGAGAACAGTTCTACCCCACTCACATAAGGGCAGCCAAGTACAAAGAATTCCTCCACCTAAGGCAAGGAACAGCTACAATCACAGAATATCACAAACAGTTCCTCAAACTAGCTCGTCTCACGCCCGAGCTAGTACCTACAGAATCAACCAAGATAGAGAAATTCGTGCCAGGCCTCAACTTCGAAAGTCGGAAGACCCTGACCTTACACAAACCAAGGACACTCGAAGAAGCCTATGCCAATGCAGCCAAACTTCAACAAATACCGTACAACCCGCCAGAAATACCCAAAGGACACAAAAGAAAAATTGTGGAGAATAACGCAACCCCCCTTCAGAAATCAAAGACTGCTAGGGCCAACCCGCCCAAAGAAGCAATAGCGTCGGTCCCCACAAAGAAAACGGGAGCCACCCAGGGGAAGATCCTTACCATGAGCAGAGCCCGAATCGGGGACAACAACATAGTCACCGGGACCTTCCTCATACACACTACCCCTGCCATCGTGCTATTTGACTCAGGGGTCGCCAATTCCTTCATAGCAACCGAATTCGCCACGCAACTCGACTTAACCACCAACACGAGAGTGCAGCTACAAGTCAAGGTAGCATCAGGCGAAGTAATAAAGTGTGATCGCATGTACAAAAATATAATGATCACCATCGAAGGAATAGAGTTCCCTAGCAATCTAATACAATTCAGATTGGACGGAATACAAGTGATCTTGGGTATGGACTGGCTAGGAAAATTCCAGGCACAGATCCTATGCGGCGAACAAAAGGTGGTCTTGAGGGGACCAAACGGTAAACGGGTATCTTACCATGGATCCCACAAGAATCCAGAAGTCAAACTAGTAAACATGATGAAAATGAGGAAGTACATGACAAAAGGGCATGAAGCCTTCTTATGTTCGATCGAGGATCTCAGCACCAAGACGGTCGGGCCTCGGACCATCCCGGTGGTAAACGAGTTCACAGATGTCTTCCTAGATGAAATCCCCGGGGCACCTCCACCCTGGGAAGTGGAATTTACCATAGACTTGATGCCCGGCGCTGCCCTAATCTCAAAACCACCCTATAGGTTGGCACCAAAGGAAATGAAGGAACTAAAAACAGAACTACAAGATTTACTAGATAAAGGGTACATACGCCCCAGTACCTCGCCATGGGGGGCACCGGTACTGTTCGTCAAAAAGAAGGATGGAAGCATGCGCCTGTGCATCGACTACAGGGAACTAAACCAAGTTACTATAAAGAACAAGTATCCCCTTCCCCGAATAGACGACTTGTTCGACCAACTCAAGGGGGCAGGAGTATTCTCAAAAATAGACTTAAGATCCGGATACCACCAGATAAAGGTGGCTGACCCAGATATCCCAAAGACAGCCTTTCGAACCCGCTACGGCCACTACGAGTTCACAGTGATGCCCTTCGGGCTAACCAATGCACCCGCAGTATTCATGGACCTCATGAACCGAGTATTTCGGCCACACCTGGATGACTTCGTAATTGTGTTTATTGACGACATCCTGGTCTACTCACGAGACAAGGAGGAACACGAGAAGCACCTCCGCACGACCCTGCAAATTCTAAGGGAAAACCAGCTATACGCCAAACTCTCCAAATGCGAATTCTGGAAGGACAGCGTGGCATTCCTGGGACACGTGATAACCAAAGAGGGGATCAGGGTGGATCCAACCAAAATCCACACAGTCAAAGAATGACCTACGCCAAAAACAATTTCGGAGGTCAGGAGTTTCCTGGGCTTGGCCGGCTACTATCGGTGGTTTGTACCCGAATTCACCAAGATAGCCCAACCCCTAACCCGACTCATGACGAAAGAAACCCCCTTCCAATGGGACGACAATTGCATTTCAGCCTTTCAGGAACTAAAGGAAAGATTGACCACAGCCCCCGTGCTAGCACTACCCTCAGGAGTGGTAGGATTCGAAGTTTTCAGTGACGCCTCCAAAAAGGGGCTGGGGTGCGTACTAATGCAAAATGGCAAGGTAATAGCTTACGCATCCAGGCAACTCAAAACCCACGAAGAAAACTACCCCACGCATGACCTAGAGCTAGCCGCCATTGTATTCGCTCTAAAAATCTGGAGGCATTATCTATATGGAGTACAATGCAAAATCTACACGGACCATAAAAGCCTGAAATACATCTTCACTCAAAAGGATCTGAACATGCGACAACGACGATGGTTGCAACTCATAAAAGACTATGACTTGGATATCCAGTACCACGAAGGAAAGGCTAACGTAGTAGCAGACGCACTAAGCCGAAAAAACTAACCACTCCCTCAACACCACCTGGGTCCTGTCAGACGAACTATGCTAGGATTTCCAAAGATTGAATTTGGAAATAGTTGAGCAGGGACGAACGAATTAGGAAATCCACCTATTCAATCTTAAGATCATACCCACGCTACTCGAAAAAATCAAAGCCGGGCAGTAACAGGACCCTGAGTTAGATAAAATACGACTCGACCTGGCTCGGGGAAAGGACGGGCCATTCAAGCTATTTGATGATGGCAGCCTCCGCTATCGGGGAAGATAGTGCATACCCACAACACACCCCCACCTAAAACAACAAATCCTAGAGGAGGGGCACAACTCACCATACTCCGTGCATCCCGGAGGCGATAAACTATACCAAGACGTAAAGAAGTTGTTTTGGTGGCCCAACATGAAAAAGGAAGTCGCAGACTTCGTGAGCAAATGCCTGAATTGCTAAAGAGTAAAGGCCGAACGGTGCAGACCCAAGGGACTCGTGCAACCCCTCGAAATACCCCAAGGGAAGTGAGACTCCATATCTATGGACTTCGTAGAAGGTTTACCCACAACACCAACAGGGAAGGATAAAATTTGGCTAATAGTGGACCGACTAACTAAGACGGCACGGTTCATTGCCATGAAAGAAACCAGGACGATGATGCATCTAGCCAGAGCCTACCTAAGCCGGGTAGTAAAATACCACGGAATCTCCCGAAACATTGTTTCCGATAGGGACCCCAGATTGCTCTCACAATTCTGGAAATCTCTACAGGCGGCCATGGGAACGAGACTAACCTTGAGCACCACCTTCCACCCCACTACCAACGGCCAGACTGAAAGGACAATTCAAACTCTCGAAGACATGCTAAGAGCATACATGATAGACTTCCAGGGGACGTGGGAAGAACACCTAGACCTTATCGAATTCTCATACAACAATAGCTATCATGCAAGCATCCGCATGGCCCCCTACGAGGTACTATATGGTAAAAAATGTAGGACACCCATATGTTGGGAAGACATAGTCAATCTAGTAACCCTGGGACCGCAATACCTACAGGACACTATAACAAAAGTCAAACGCATACAAGAAAGAATGAAGACCGCCCAGGACCGCCAGAAGTACTATGCCGACATGGGTAGGAAGCAGGCCGAATTCTCCACAGGAGAGAAGGTTTGGCTAAAGATCTCACCCACCCGGGGGGTGATGAGGTTCGGGAAGAAGGGGAAACTCAGTCCCCGATTCATGGTCCCTACGAAATCTTAGAGAAAGTCGGGAACCTGGCCTACCGCCTCGCCTTATCCGCCGAGCTAGAACGGGTGCACAACGTGTTCCACATATCACAACTAAAGAAATATGTGTATGATGCAAGTCACGTGTTACAACCTGAGGTAGTAAGCCTAGACGACACGCTGACTTACGAAGAGAAACCCGTAAGGATCTTGGACACTAAGACTAGGGCCACTTGCCAAAGAACCATAGAAATGGTAAAGGTCCTCAAGTCCAATCATGGAACTGAAGAGGCAACATGGGAACTTAAAGACACCATGAAGGAACGCTACCCCGAGCTCTTCACACAAGGTAACCAAGACAAATCCGTAAGATAAGAAGGATGATCGACCTCAGCAAATCTAAGCTTCGGGGACGAAGCTTTTCGTTAGGGGGGAGGGTGTAACACCCTGTGTTACGGCCTCTAACCCAAACTAATTATTTAATTACTTACCCTTAAAAGGGAATTGAATTCCCTTAATTAATTAGTAAAGGTCCACCATAGACCATGGACCCTTATCCCTAAACCAAACCCTTAATCCTATAAGGAATAGAATAAGTAAATCCCTACCATTTAGACCCTAATTAGGACTCATATATATATATATATATATATATATATATATATATATATATATATATATATATATATATATATATATATATATAAGGACATTGGAGGCACCAGGATTCACACCATAATAGATTCCACCACACAAGAATTCCCAAGAATTCCCCTATCACCAAACATAAGAGAAATCAAGAAGAGGAGATCTTAGAGAAAGAACCTTAGTAGCCAAGGATTCTAATTAAGGCTAAGAGGTAACCCATGTGTCAACAAAACCTATTTTCCTTGCTATAATCATCTTCTTTGGCTCCTTTGATATGTAATTCCATGCTTGTGTCTTGATAAAGCTTTTTATGATGATTATGAGATAATCTTGATGTCGATGAGATAATCTTGATGTTTATGTGATTCTGATAATCTTGATGTTCTTGATATTTATATGTTGCTCTTAATAACCTTGATGTTCTTGATTTTAATATGACTAGAGCCCTAGGGTAAAATCGTGGATTTCGTATGGTGATATTCTTGGTATATTTGGGCGGGATTTTGCATGTTCAGGTATTGAGTCTTGATTATGTTTAATAGTCATGTTAGGATGTATACAATGTGATTCTTGGTTTTAATCCATTACTTGATTACGTGGTGTTGTCGTTTGTGTTTAAATGTGTCTGGACATGGTTTCAGGTTCCACGAAAGATCCCGGGACCAAATTATTACATAAGAGTCAGTGGGGGGTAGGTGGGGGCAGGGGTACCTGCCACCTACCCGCTGCCCCAAAGAGGCCGCCGGCAGCGGGAAGGCGACTGCCCGCCGGGAACCCGCTGCCCAGTATAGCGCCACCAGCGGGTGGTCCTCCACCCGCCGGCCTCCCGCTGGTTTCCCAAGGTGGAATTGGTGGTTTTTCCCCGTTTATTGTTTCCCCGTGCCCCGTGGTGTCCCATTGCACCCCGTTTGTCGTGCCCGAGTCTAGTTTGATTTTTTGGGTACCGTTCATAGGATAAAAGAGTCTTGCATGCTAGTCGAATTGGTATCTCGTTGGCCTAGGTGAAAGATGTATGAACCCCTTAGGCTTATTCCTAGCAATGTGGTTGACCACACATAAGTTTATATATGTGATTTCCCCTTCCTATGTGTTAATGTGGGTTGCATGTGATTGACTATGTGTTATGTGTGCATGATACCCCAATTGCTTGCAATCAATTGGCTATACGGGCAGTTGGATGGGTTGAGAACCATGGGCTGTTAACCAGGCCGGTTGCGATCGGTCAGGTATATAAATCTATATAGGGCTGCAGTCTACCGTTTGGTTGCGATCAAACGTTATAAATGAGTTGCGGTTCATAATCTGGTTGCGATCAGAAATACACACTATTCGGGCTGCTGTCCACCGTTTGGTTGCGATCGAATGTTACTATATGAGCTGCGGTTCATCGATTGGTTGCGATCAATCCCCTCGTGCTGCAGGACGAGGCAGGGTGCTTCGGGGCCGTGTCAGAGCTATATGCGCTGACCCTCATGTATGGGCATGCGATTGGTCCTGCGGCACCACCAAAGCGTGCTTATGTGTTGAGAAAATGATTGAATACTGATATGTTTAATGAGGAATGATCTTGTGACCTTAGGTTGTATGCTAGTATCTTTATATACGTAATTATGACTGATGAATGTGCCTATCCTTACTTGTTGATTCTATTCTCGGTTTTAAATTAGAGTCTCCTAAGTATATATATCTTCCGGCTTCAAAATTGTTTCTTTATATATATATATATATATATATATATATATATATATATATATATATATATATATATATATATATATATCTACCTATATTGTATTTTAACGCGTTAGAGTGGGTTATCAGCATTATTCGCTGAACAGATATATTTGGCTTTTAGGCACAGATGTGTAGCTCCGGAGCACGCTAGAGGACCCGAAGCTTAGTTAGTTTCCTTATCGGCCTGCGTGCCATGATGATGTATTGACACTGTTTTGAGGATATTTAGATAGTATAGCCTGTGCATCTGAGTTCTCTAGCTCAGATGTGGCATAACACCCCAAACACTTATGTTTAGTTATGCTCTGTTTTGAGGTCTAATGACAGTATTGCCTTTATTTCATAAGCATCCAAATTTTAAATTTTAGGGGTGTTACAACATAAGAGTATGATTATGTTATTTCACGAGATTGCATAAGAGCATGAGTATATTGTTGCACAAGATTGCATAAGAGCATGAGTATATTGTTGCACTAGATTGCATAAGAGTATGGCTATATTGTTGCACTAGATTGCGTGAGAAACATGATCATAATGTTAAACGTGATTGTATGCGAATAGAGTATCGTAAAAGATTATTTAATGAGAAGTCTAATTGGAGATATTCCCTTGAGCATAACCATTGTGATGTAGTAGAAGTTCTATTTAATAAGTCAGGTGATAAGAGTTTGATCGCATGTGAACACCTGTTATATGATCTTTAAACATGATTCAATCAGTAAGCATGAATTGCTTGATAAGCTATTTGAGAAGTCTACATGTTGATGAATATACGTGATCATTCTTTTACATATATAAGTATGTCAGCTATTATTATAGGGTGCAAGCATCTAGAAAGAATACGATGATCTAAAGTTGATTTGAGATTAGTTTATTGATGTAATGATATCAAATGTTTTCCAAGTATATGCTAGAAAGTTTTACAAGGTTAAGTGTGGTTATACTTAGCTTCGTGCTAACGGGTGTTTTTAATGTTTGTCTATGTGTTGCTTGCAAAACCCCTTTCAGGTGGGCCCAACAGTGAGAGGAGATCGAGTTAGATTAGTCTCTTAGTTCGAGCTGTCTAAACTCTAGTCTTATTTATGAGGACACTATGGATTTAGAATTATGTTTTCATGTTGGAGAATGTTTGTAGACTGTTTTGGGGTGACGTATTTCCCCTTACTTTTCCAGTTATTACTTTTAGTTCCCAGACTTAATCGTATTTGTAGTTTTACCCCTTTTTGCCCGTGCAATCACCCAAGTGTGGTGGGTGTGGCGGTGACACTCCCACTACTTATCATCTAGGTTTCCGTTACTTAGTTTATGTTAATGACTGCTTAGAGAGGTAATTAAGAGTTAGAAAAGTGGGGTGTTACACTGTGTCATTGAAGTTGACTGCATTAGAGTTAGCTCTCCATTGAAGGGATTTCATTGGACTTCTGGATGCATAGCTCTCCGAGTTCAACAATCCACTATTCCTTTGTAGATTGGGTACTGACCTAGTGTGGGGCACTATTGGGTGAAATCGTTTCTCTACCTTTGTACATTGGAGTTGTGAGATAATGGATTGGATGCATCGGTGAGCGTCCCCTAGACGTAGATACACACTGTATCGAACTGGCTAAACAAACCTATGTGTTGATTTACTTTCTGCTTTAGTTTTTCGCACTTTATCATATCTGTTGGTCTATCTGTTTGATTGTTCAATTAACTATCAGTGTTAATCTGCCCACAAACTGTTTGATAAGAAAGTAGGTCAATATTGTAGATTATCAGAATATGCAAAATTACATAAGCAAATATACACCATCAACTTTAGGAAATGCACTACAAAAACACACACAAATTAGGTATGCATCACATAAAGCACACCATTAGGTATGACTAAAAGCACCACATAGTGTTCGGAAATACACCATTAGTGGTAGGGAGTTATATGGTGTATTTTCTTTGGGTGTGTTGTGTATTTTTGCATTTCATCGTTGTGCGTTTCTCTTACACTATTGGTGCATATTGTTAACATTGTTGGTGCATTTTGAAAACCGTTGAACGACCGCACGGGAGGGTCTCGCCGCATTTGATTTTACAAGTAAACTGTGCGACGTCATTTAAGGCTTAAATGCGTATTTTCTGTTTTGCTTGTTATTTTTCTTACCCCAAAAGGCTGAACCCCCAACCCTAAGGGCCCCCCACACTCCGACCCGACAGAGCATGTGGGAGGATGTAAATCACGGTGCTTGCTATTTTTCTGTTTTGCTTTGTTGTTGTTTTAGCAGCTGTTAGAAGGGTATAGTGGGCTTGTAATTGATTCCTTGGGAGGTTTAAATAGAGGGGAACTGCTTGTATGGGCTATGCTTGGGAATTAATTCAACTTTCTCAGAATTCTCTATTTCTCTTTTCTCTTAACTTCTCTGAACTCTACGATATTCTTCCCCAATTCTGTCAATCTCTTTCCCTTTTTTTTTTTTCCTGTAATTGCTATTCTGTACCTTTCTTCTGCAGTATTTTGTCTTCTTCATTGTTGAAAATTACCAGGTCCATTATAATTGGTATCAGAGCCCAACTAATGGAGGACCGAATCAGTAAGTTGGAGGCCCAAGTGATGGAACAAGGCAAAAAGCAAAACACTAGCTTACAAGCTATGGAGGATTCAATCCAAGAATTTAAGGATTAAATGGAGGCTTGAAACTCACCTGCAATTGAATAGGTCACCACCTCCTGTCATTGATCCATGCTCAGTCTAAGGGAGAACCCAAACGAACCAGCTAACCTATGAAGAAGGTGGCCCCATGCTTGAGAGGAGACCAAGGAAGGAATCTGCTGCAAATAACAATGTTGGAGCTCTTGGAGTTCTGGAAGTTATTGTGGAGGATGAAGGTTAGGGAGAGAACACACCTGCCTTCCATGGTGGTCCAAGGGCTTCATATTTGGATTGGGTTCCTAGGAGAGGTAATCTAGAGGCTAGACAACTAAACCCAAACCATGGTGGAGACCATTTCATGAGGTACACACAAAAGTTCCCTGCTTTTGATTATGACCAACCTAGTATTTGGATTATCATATGTGAAAGGTTTTTCATGTTATCTATAATTCCTAGAAATGAAGTCATGAACATTTTGTATGTGAACTTGACTAGGAAAGCTGGGGTGTGGTTTGCGAGCTACATTAATGGTTTGAGGGCAGGATTTTAGTGGCAAAACTTTGCAGATGCAGTATGTATGAGGTTTGGTGCAAATGGTACGAGTGTAATGGAGCAATTTTCTGCTTTTAAACAACTTGGGTATGTAGATGATTTTACAGACAGGTTTGAGTAATTCAAAAGCTTGTTACTGCAAACTTACCCCTATTTAAATGATGGATACTTCTTGGACAACTACATAGCCAGATTGAGACAACAACTTAGGTGTTTTGTAAGAACTTGATATGATGATTAAGGGAATATCTCTATTATTATAACTGATTTATTATCTTTACTATTAGAATTGATTTATTTCCTTTAGAGATAGCAAATAATTAGGGTAAGGATCTTTAATGATTCTCCTTTCCTTTTTATGTTTTTGCTAGTCTTCCTTTCCTTTTTATGTTTTACTAGTCTTTGTAACCCTCTTATATAAAGGGGATTTTCATTCTAATAAAAGAACAAGCAAGAAAGAAGTTAAGTTAAAATCAAGAGGTGGGAAAACTCTCAAAACGTTCCTATTATGTTTGTTCCTTATATTTATCTCTAAACATAGACAACCCCAATAACCATAATCGCCCTTTGACGAGTGCTTTCACCCGAGAACATAACATTTTGGTTCCGTTGCCGGGGCGTCAGTATGGGAGATATCAAAAAGCTCCAGGAGGAGATGCGACACATCCGCTTAACCGTGCAAAAACTTGAAGAATTACCAGCAACCGTTAATACTCTGTCTGAAGCCGTTGCACACCTCACGACAGTTATGAACTCTTTTTTTGCGAACCAGCATCCTGCAACGAGCACCACTACTATCATGCACTCTACCGCTAGCCACGCCACTCCAAAAGCGGTTGTCCTAACACCGCCAGATCCCACTCCATCCACAATCATTGTTGAGCACCCACATGTGGAGATAGCGCCATTGCAAGCCACTGTTTCAGCCAATCAACCTCATGTGGTTTCAACACAAAAGGTTGCTGAAATTGGGGTTGTGCCCTTTCCAAAAACTGTCCTATGCGTGGGAGGGTTATTTCACCACTCTCCAACCCCATCTCCAACCCCATCTCATTTAAGGGTTGTGTCATATGGTATTGGTCATTCTTCATCGTTGGTGTCTCCCTCATCATCTAATGTTGTTGTTCCCAATAACTCCTTCAAAGGATTTCCAAGCATGGCGTAGGTCCCTTGAGGATGCTATTTGGCTTGCAATGCAATATGAAAAAGGGCTTGGTACAAATGAATCTCAAAAAACCTTCTATACTACCCAAAAATCCACAAAGACTAGCCCAAATTCCAACCCTTATAACCCCAAAACTCCAGAACTATACCGGCCTCAAAATACCCCTAATCCACCCAAATATTCAGCCACAAACACCTTAAACTCTACTGCTAAGTTCCCTGAAATTGGCAAGCTCAAAAATCAGTTAAGAGAGCAGAACAAGTGCTTTAAGTGTTTTGAGTCCTGGAATCCTGGCCATAAGTATAGAGGTCCTACCTTCAATATTATTGAATAAGTTGTGCCCCAGGATCTTGAAGAGGAGGACAATAGGGATCATCAAGGAGGAGAAGAAGTTGAAGTAACTTTGTGTGCTATTATTGGTGGTGAGGGAATGAATACTATTAAATTGATTGGGTTTATTAACCAACATCCTATTGTGATTCTGGTGGATAGTGGGAGTACACACAGCTTTTTGGACCCCAAATTGCTTAACCAAATGGAAATTACCCATAAGAAGGCAAAACCTCTCACTGTGACAGTGGCTAATGGTGATAAGATGATTTGTGATTCTGTATGTTGTGGTCTAAAATGGCAGGTCCAGGATGAAATGTTTTAGAAAGATTTCAGGTTGCTAATGTTGGGAGGTTGTGACATGGGTCTAGGGGTGGACTGGATTGATACTTTTGCACCAATTCAGTTACATACTAGACCACATGGGATTTCTTTCCACAAGTACAGGAAAGAAATATTATTGAAAGGTTTCGCCAAGAAAAAAGTGTTATAGCAGGATCAGTTTGCTCCATAATTGGTGAAATTTGAAGTAGGTGAAAGCAAGGATAAGGTGAGTAATCCTGATCTACATAAATTGCTTGATGATGATGTTAGAATGGAGAAATTACCAGTGCAAGTTCTAGAGGTACACAAGGATGAAATTGTTAAGGACCATGATGGTGGCTTAAATTGTTGGTGATGAACATATGCATGTGGTGATCTGCAAATCTTATAACTGTGCTAAAATTATTGGAATGGATTATGCGATTTTGGGTGGGAAATTTTCAGGAATGAACATTGAATATGCATCTATTGTTGGAATAGTTTTAACTACTATGAGGTTGGTGGTGAGAGTTGCAGTGGAACAATATTACTTCAATGTCACCTTCTATGTCAATCCTAAAATGCCATAGTGGAATGAATTTGCTTTTGACCCAGTTGGAACTCTACAGGAACTTGCCAAGCCAAAAGCACCCTTGAAGATGTTGGAGTTGATTATTCTGAATTTGGAAAAGGGAAAAGTTGGTACTGGTTTTAGGTGTGATTATGGGAAGATGAACATTATACTGGTTTTGTGTCACAACATAGTTCAGATTATAAGAAAGAAAGAATAGTTATGCCTGGGGCATATTGATAGTTGGAGAGAGCACTCTTGGTACTAAAGCAATAAACATCCTTGATGGGGGGCAGTTATGCTAAATGACACACTGCAAAATGATTTGGTGCGTTTAACAAGAGGGCTTAAGTTTAACAATGATGGATTGACAATTGAAGGCAGCACTCTTTGCCTGCAAACATTAAGCATCCTTGATGAAGGAACAATCTTGCTAAATGACACTGCTAGGAAATGCAATGCATTCCTTAGTCCTAGAAAATAGAAGATCGAGGTTCCTGAGGGAGATTTGAGCCAAAGAAGCCCAAATATATTCTTGCTAATCTGTTTCTTTTGTGGCTGTGAATGGTTGGTTATTTTCAAATGACACTTGAACAGAAGAAGATAGCTGCTACATGGGGGAATGGTGGTCAATTCTCTTAAAAAGCTCAGTATCTACATACCTGATCCTTGGGGACAAGGATCAAGTTAAGGGGAGGGGAATGTCATGATCCTGTTGATTGTTCAAAATTATGTCATTACATGTAAATGGAGCAACGTCGTTTAAAGCTTAAATGCGTATTTTCTGTTTTGCTTTGCTGTTGTTTTAGCAGCTGTTAGAAGGGTATTTTGGACTTGTAATTGATTCATTGGGAGGTTTAAATAGAGGGGAACGGCTTGTATAGGCTACTTTAGAATTAATACAACTTTCTCATATTTCTCTATCTCTTTCTTTTCCCCAATTTTGTCATTCTTTTTCCCATTTTTCTGCAATTGCTATTCTTTACCTCTCTTCTGCAGTTTTTTTGTCTTCTTCATTGTTGCAAATTACCAGGTCCATTACAAAAGCCCCTTGCACCTTGCATAGCTCAAACTGAATATAAAGTAGTTTCATTAAAGAAATATAGGGTGTTGCATGAACAAAAATATATATAACATGAATGGATACATCATACCTTGAAGAAAAGAAAGCCCAGCATTAAAGCACAAAGAAATGTTGGTGTTGGGTCTATTTTATATACACAAGAGATAAATAGAGTCCAATAGGCCCAAGCCCTAAGTTATCTTTTCTTTCTGTGTGCAGCAGTGCTTTCTTCTGTGCAGCCCACATTTAGAAAAGTTACAGTGAAAGGAAAAGACAAAATAGACAGTTTATAACCCAAAGGGCAACGATAAATCACACCAGATTTGACATATCAGAGATCAGTTTGAGATGAGCAATCCGACAAGACAGCCCATATCCGATTCTATGTTAGTCGAGAGTTACCCGACATGCTATATTCTGCTGTTGTCGATTTATATATAAAACCCAAGACCGGTAATCAGTTATAGTCCTCTCATGTGCCTGTCGTTATGTCCGGCCCGCCTTCATTAAACTGTTTGGACAAGTGAAATGTTGCCTTCCTTAGCTTTCATTGTTTTTATGAATATTAGCCACTTCTTTTCGTCTACTTTTCCCAACACTTAAAAGGTGAATAAAAAATTAAAGTTTCTTTTGTTTTTTTTTTTAACCACGACTTGTGATAATTGGAATATTAGAGTTCACGCTAGCACCAATACATTTAAAATATTACTGTCACTAAAAAATGGTTGGAAATATTGACCACTTTAATTGCTGAGAAGCAATTTTCAAATCTCAAAAGTGAAAAAATAAATAAAAAAAATTTGATCGAAACCCAACAGAGAAACTCTCATTTTCGTTTCTGGTGATACCAGAAAGGATTTGGCCGTCCCTCTCGTATCGTTATTTTTCCTACCATTCTACTATTCTAGTGTGCCAGGGTTTTAATAATGAGAGAGGATTTTGTTCTGAGTTTTGATTTTTGCAAATTAATACACCATATTACTTTAGTCTTTCAAGTATATTAACAAGGTGTGCATTGAGTAAATCATATCTAAGGCCGAATTTTATGCTGTACAAGCTGGGCTACCGCACAGGGCCCCAAATTTTAGAAGGTCAAAAATTGAACTTGTGACCTTCTAGTATGATAATTATGTTCCATTCATAAAGTGTGCACTGTTGTATTGCAAGTTAGTTTGCAGGCCTTTAGCTCGTGAAGAACAGTAAGAACGAGAATAAGAGTAGAAAGATGAGGGAGAAAAGGAGGATAGATCCATTCATCATCATCCATCATAGTACAATGATATATATACAAGATACACTAAAGGCATACAATAATGAAGGATAATTACATCCGTTACAGACGTTACAAAGCTACTATATTAATGTCCACCATAAGTTTTATTTATAACACTCCCCCTTGGACATTATTTGATCATGATCTTGCCTCATTAAAAACTTTCTAGGAAAACCCTGTGGGAAAAACCTAGACAAGAAAAGAGTACAATAGAAAATATATTCATGCCTCATTAAAAACTTCACTAGGAAAACCACGTGGGAAAAACCTAGTTGAAGAAAAGAGTACATGATATATATAAAAACATATATTGTATTTGGTCGCCTCATTAAAAACCTTAACTTAAGAAAACCCTGTGGGAAAAACTTAGTTAAGGGAAAAAGAGTACAACCATAAGCCTTCAGGGCGCAAACCGC